TAGTAAGGAAAATGGTGATCAAAAGTAAAACACTAGTGAGGAGGGAAAGGGTGGAGTGATGGGGGGGATAAACAAGTGAAAAATAGTATGGAAGGAAATACACAGTTAATTACAATAACAATAAATGCAAATGGGATGAACTCACCCATAAAACAGAAGCAGATAGCAGAATGGAATAAAAACCAAAATCCTACAATATGTTGGTTAAAAGAAACACATTTGAAGAAGAGCAATATACACAGGGAAAAGGTAAGGGACTAGAGCAGAATTTATTATGTTCAGCTGAAGCAAAGAAAACATGGTAGCAATCATTCTCAGACAAAGCAAAAGCAAAAATAGATCTAGTTAAAAGAGATAAAGAAGAAAACTATATCTTTCTGAAAGGTACCATAGACAATAAAGTCATATCAATACTAAACATATATGTACCAAATGGTGTGGCATCTAAATTTTTGAAGAAGTTGAATGAGTTACAGGAGGAAATAGGCAATACAACTATATTAGTAGGTGACCTCAACTTTCCTCTCTCAGAAATAGATAAATCTAACAAAATAATAAAAAAGAAAGAAGTTAAAGAGGTGAATAAAATTCTTGGAAAGTTAGATTAGATAGACCTCTGGAGAAAACTGAATGGGAATAGAAAGGAATATATCTTTTTCTCAGCAGTACATGGCACCTACACAAAAAATGACCATGTATTAGGACATTAAAAACCTCACAACCAAATACAGGAAAGTAGAAATAGTAAATATATCCGTTTCAGCTCATAATGCAATAAAAATTACATTCAATAATGGACAATGGAGAGATCAAAAATTGATTGGAAATTAAATAATCTAATCCTAAAAACAAGTAGGTTAAAGAACAAATCATAAAAACAATCAATAATTTCATTAAAGAAAATGATAATGAGACAACATACCAAAATCTATGAGATGCAGCCAAAGTGGTACTTAGTATCTCTAATTACTTACATCAACAAAATAGAGAAAAAGCAAATCAATGAATTGGGTATGCAACTAAAAAAAAAAAACTAGAAAAAGAACAAATTAAAAATTCCCAATTAAACACCAAATTGGAAATCTTGAAAATCAAAGGAGAGATTAATAAAACTGAAAGTAAGAAAACCATTGAACTTATAAACAAAACTAGAAGCTGGTTTTATGAAAAAAAAACAATAAAATAAATAAACCTTTGGTTAATTTGATTTAAAAAAGGACAGAAGAAAACCAAATTATTAGTATCAAAAATAAAAGGGATGAATTCACCACCAATTAAGAGGAAATTAAGACAATTGTTAGGAGCTATTTAACCCAATTACCTGCCAATAAATTTGATAATCTAAATGAAATGGATGAATATCTGCAAAAATATAAATTACCCAGATTAACAGAAGAAGAAATAAAATACTTAAATAATCCAATTTTACAAAAAGAAACTTACAAAAAAACTGATCTTACAAAAAGAAACATCAATGAACTTTCTAAGAAAAAAATTCCCAGGATCAGATGGATTCACAAGCAAATTCTAACAAACATTTAAGGAACAATTAATCCCATTACTATATAAACTATTTGGGAAAATAGGTGAAGAAAAAGTTCTGACAAATTCTTCTTATGACACAAATATAGTGGTGATACCCAAACTAGGAAGAGCCAAAAAAGAGAAAGAAAATTATACACCAATTTCCGTAATCGGTGTTGATGTAAAAATTTTAAATAAAATACTAGCAAAGATATTACAGCAATATATCACAAGGATCATATCCCATGACCAGGTGAGATTTATACCAAGAATATAGGGCTGGTTCAATACTAGGAAAACTATCAGCATGATTGACCATATCAACAAGAAAACCAATAGAAATTATATGATTATCTAAATAGATGCAGAAAAAGCCTTTGACAAAATATAGCACCCATTCATATTAAAAACACTACAGAGAATAAGAATAAATGGAACTTACTTAAAATGATAAGTAATATTTATCTAAAAGCATCAGCAAGCATTGTCTGTAATGGGGATAAGCTAGGAGCCTTACCAATACAATCGGGGTGAAGCAATGATACCCATTTTCCCCTCTATTATTTAATATTGGACTAGAAATGTTAGCTATAGCAATGACAAGAAAAAAAATTAAAGGAATTAGAATAGCAATGAGGAAACAAAACTATCATTCTTTGCAGATGATATGAGGTTATACTTAGAAAATCCTAGAGCATCAACTAAAAAACTACTTGAAATTATTAACAACTTGAGCAAAGTTGCAGGATATAAAATAAACCCACATAAATCATCAGCATTTCTATGTTACCAACAAAGTCCAGCAGCAGGAGACAGAAAGGGAAATTCCATTTAAAATAACTGTAGACAATATATAAAATATTTGAGAGTCTACCTGCCAAGACAAACCCAGCAACTATATGAACACATCTATAAAACATTTTTCACACAAAGTCCGATCTAAACAATTGAAAAAAACATTAATCGCTCATGAGTAGGCTAAGCCAATTGTAATAAAAATGGCAATTCTACTGAAATTAATCTATTTATTCAGTGCCATACCAAACTATCAAATATTATGTTGCAGAGCTAGAAAAAATAACAAAATCCATCTAGAAAAGCAAAAGCTCAAGGATAGCAAGGGAATCAACGAAAAAAAAATGCTAAAGAAGGTGATCTAGCCATAACAGATCTCAAACTGTATGACAAAGCAGTAATGATCAAAATAATCTGGTACTCGTTAAGAAATAGAGTGGTGGATCAGTGGAATAGATTAGATACAAATTACATTATAGTAAATGACCATAGTAATCTAGTATATGATAAACCCAAGGATCCAAGCTTTTGGAACAAAAACTCATTATCTGACAAAAACTTTTGGGGAAACAGTATGACAGAAACTAGGTATAGCTTAGCATCTCACACAGCAAACCAAGATAAGATCAAAAAGGGTACATGATTTACACATAGAAGGTGATACTACAAGCAAATTAAGAGAGCATGGAATAGTTTATCTGTCAGATCTATGGATAAAGGAAGAATTTAGGACCAAAGAAGATACAGAGAGAATTACAAAATATAACATATCTTGGGGGGGTGGGGCAGAGCAGTTTTCAATTTTTAAGAGAGTAAGGGGTCTAAGGACCAAAAAAGTTTGAAGTGCATTTCTTGAACATTTCCTGGCCTGCCCTGCCTTTCTGCCTTGGAATACAATTCTTTGGGGTCTAATTAGTCAAATCTGACCAATTGAATTTATCTAACAGAAAAGAGGGAACCAGGAATAGGGGATGTAATCCCCACCAGTTCTCTACTTTATTAGTGTGAATTTTAACTCTTTTATTAACCACCCTATTTAGTTTAATCACAAGGACTAATTATAATCCTGGATGCTTACACATCAAGAGCTCTTCTTACTACTCTAATGTACACACAAGAGGTTTAGGGTGGTTGGTGCCCATGGCATTTTATCCCTGGATTCTAGCAGTCTTCATCAAAATTGCAGAATGCCTCTCTTTGCATCATTTAGGAAGGAGACTGAAGACTCAGAGTAGGCCTATGGCTCAGATGAAAACTTATAATTGATTCTAACACAAAAGTGAATTTCTTTCGCAGAGCTATGTATTGCTTAGGACTTTGGCAATCTCAGTATTTCTATGGATACTCATATTCAAAGCTTCCTCCTAAATTACAAAGTTAAATTTAAAGTTCACAACAGGCCACCCAATTATTTGGAAAAAATTTAGGGCAGTTAAGTGTGGACCAATAATCTCAACCAGTGAATTCCTAATCATGTTCTAATCACTCTCATCTCTCTATAGAAAGTGTGTCCACTCAGTAAGACTACTCAAGACCACTGATGTTAATGGGAGACTGAGCAATGTTCAATTGAATTCAATAAACATTTATTAAACTCTTACTATGTGCTTAGTAAGCTCTGGGGATACAAAAAGAGGCAACAGACAGTCCCTACCCTCAAGGAACTTACAATTTCATAGGGGAGACAACATGCAAACAAATATATACAAAGCAAATTATATATAAGATAAATAGGAAATAATTAAAAGGGGAGCAGCTAATGGATAAATTGCTGGGCCTGAGGTCAGGAAGGCTCATCTTCTCAAGTTCAAATCTGGCCTCATACACTTACTAGTTGTGTGACCCTGGTCAAATCACTTAACCCTGTTGGCCTTAAGTGTCCTCATCTGAAAATGAGCTGTAGAAGTAAATGGAAGACCTCTCTATTATCTTTATCAAGAAAACTCTAAATGGGGTCACAAAGAATCAGACACAAATGAAAGGACTCTAGAATGATTCAACAACAACAAAAGAGGGAAAGCACTGGAATTAAGAAGGGCTGGTTATTGTTGTCCTTCATTCTGTAAGACGACTATGACATCAGAAAGGTGATGCCATGACTTGCGAGTTAATTGGATTTACGTGAGGGAGGGCTGTGCAAAGTCACCAGCCTCATTTTCTCCCCCAGAGCCCCCTGGGTCCATAGATCAGGAGGACTGGAGATCGCCAGAGGGATTGCTTAGGGAAGGCATGAAGACAAATGGCTTTAATCATTTAGAGAGGGAATCACTGACCACGTTGTCAGAAGAGATCCCCTCCTCTCCTCTCCAGCAGATGATGAGCAGAAAAGGAACCACAAATTCAGGGTCCCAGGCAGAGGACTGCAAGGCCACCCAGAACCGCCAGCAGATGGCTCCAACCTGACAGTCCCCACACCCAAGCCAGCAAGAGAAGAGGGAGAGGCCGGAGAAAGGTTGGAGGACATCATTGCGCGCTCCCGCTCTGCGCAGCCGCAACCGCAGCCCAGCTGCGTCCTAGAGCCGATGGAACTCCACACAGCCCCTGGACAACCAGCCCAGCGCGTGCGCGTGCGCGCTCGTGGTTGTCTTGGGAACCGGTCGGCCTCTGCAGACTAATCCCGGCCTGGGGCCAGCGGGAGGGCGGCTGCTGTCGGAGAAGAAACTGCAGCTGCGGCAGCAGCGATGCCTCGTGGCCTGGGCGGCCGCGGCGGCAGCGGCCGGGGGTCCGAGCGGCGGCAGTGTGTGAGCGACTGCCTGGAGAGGCACCAGGACCAGGCGCTTAACGACCATATGTACCTGCTGCGGGAGACGGGCCCCACCGGCTTCCTGCTGAGCGAGGACGAGCCCAACGGCTGCAGCTATCGCGTAACCGCCGCCCCGGGCGGGAGCGGACCCCGACCGCGACCCCCTAACCTCCCCCCCAGACAAACCAACCAGGTTCCCTCCGCTAGTGGGGGCTCCGGGCCCGGCCCCTGCGGCCCCTCGGGCGTCCTGAGAGCTGCAGAATTAAGAGGGAAGGGGAGCTGAAGAGCTGGGGTGACCTGTGGCCTTTCTGTCTGTGTAAATGGGGATAATTAGACACACCTTGATAGCCTGGTGATTCTCCTGCTTGGAAATTCATTGGTAGCGGTTACACTGCGAATAATAGCTACAGCGAGTAATTAGCATTTTAAGGTTTGCAGAGCGTTTTTTAGAAATATTTTATTTTATTCTCACAACAACTCTGGCAGGTAGCTGCTATTATTATCCCCATTTTGCAGATGAGGAAACTGAGGCAGACAGAGGGGTAGAGGTTTGCCCAGGGTCACAGTGTCTGAGGCTAGATTTGAATTCAAGTCGTTCAGGATCCAGGTATCCACTCCATCACTTAGCTGCCAAATGAATATCTTCAGATTCTGGTCTTGATTCCATGTCCAGCGTTTTCATTGCATGAAGAAACTGAGGCACGGAAAACTTAAGTTCAAGGTCACAGCCCTAGTATGAGTCTGAGGATTTGAAAGCAGGTCTTTCTGACTCCCGAGGCCTGAATTCTATAAATACGATTGCCATACTACTTCCACCTACCTTTTACTAACAGCTCATATTTTAAGGACGACTCTGCAGTTCTTCCACCTTCTGCTTAGTTTGGGAACTACAATTTCCCCATAAAAAGCCTTTCTAAAAAAAAGTTATTAGAAAATGAATTTTGTTAGAACCATTATCTATTTGTGAAAAATCTATCAGTTTTTCATTGTATTACATACAAGTCTTCGTTTTCTTTGAAATATTCTTAATAATGCTGACAGGGCATGGACTTGGATTCAGAAAGATCTGGGTTCAGTTCTTGCTTCTGAAACCTACTAATTGTGAGCCGAGGAAAGTCACTTAACCTCTTATAACTCTCAAATATTATATACTGAGAACTTGTCAATCTGCTTTGATGGAGAGAATTTCCAGAGTCCACTCCTACTCATGAAATCACAGCTCAGTACAAAACATGTATTCTCAGCTAATTTTTGAAAGTGTCCACTTCAAAACTGGAAAATTATAAAAGCATACATTTTAATAAATATAAATCCAGCTCATTAAATGAATAAAGCATTTCTCACAGGTATATTTTGTTGCTTAAAAAAAAAACCCAGTTCTTTGAGGAGATTGTATAAGCAACGGTGTATCCACTCTTTGGACTCTTAATAAGAGAATAGGGACAGGGAATTAATTCCCAGTTGAAGAAACTGCTTCTCACAATGCAGATCTTCCCCACCTCTGCAACTTGTAGTAAGAGAATTGCTTAGAGCACTGACAAGTTAAGTGACTCATCAAGGATCACACAGCCATTATGTCAGAGCAAACGAACCCAGTTCTTACTGGCTTCTTAGCTTGCTTAGCTCACTTAGAGGTGTCAAACATGGAACCTGCAGCCACATGTTGCCCACAACATTCCTAGAGGTGATCAAACCAGATTAAAATGTAGTTCCTTTCTTGTTTTAATGTGTTGATGTATTTTTTTAAGATATATAAATGTGTGGTTTTCTAAGTCAGTGTGCAGTCCATAGGAAGCCTTTTGTAAGGTTTAGTGGCCCATGTTGCTATTTGAGTTTTGACACCATTACACTACAACACAAGGCCTTACCTATTAGGTTAGATGTAAGTGGAACTTTTTGACAGTATTGTTAAATACTATGGTAGAAAGAATATTGGGTTTGGAATTGGAAAGTCCAGGATCATTCCCTGTTCTGCTATTTAATACTTATGTGTGCTTGAGCAAACTACTTCTCTGGGCCTCAGTTGTCTCTTCAGTAAAGTGAGAATGGTGTACTAGTTGATCTCCGAACTCTAAATCCTGTGATTTCCTAAGCAATGGGCATGAGCTTTCATTTTTAAGGAAAACTTAAAAAAAAAGATGTTTCTACCTGCCCAAAATGTAAAGACAACCTACTTGAAAACAGAATATGCTATATTAGGGGGTTGCCAGCCTTTTCTGAAGAACTACTTTTGATTTCCCTAGTGTTACCACTTTGATGGGTACATTGTTACACTTCAGATTGCTGATGAAATTTCTGCATCAGACCCTAACAGCAGGAGGTGGCTTTTAATTGGACCACATAGGGGCAGGTAGGTGGCATAGTGGATAGAGAACCGACCCTGCAGTCAAGAGGACCTGAGTTCAAATACTGCCTCAGACCAAACACTTGACACTTACTAGCTATGGGACCCTGGGCAAGTCACTTAACCCCAATTGCCTTAAAAAGTTTTTAAAAAAAATTAATTGGACCACATAAAATTGACCAGTAAATTATGATTGACCTATTGGGAATGCTTGCAGTAGGTACCTTAAACAAGTTTCTTCTAACCCCAAAACATGACCCATTTTTTTCCTTTAACAATACTGATGATTAATTACAATTATGATTTTAAAATGTAACTATTTTTCTTTAAAAGGTTTTCCTCGGAGATCCTCACACATGTAGCTGTTCCACATTTCTGAAAGGAAATGATCTTTGTAAACATATCTGCTGGTAAGTGATTTAGTGTGTCAGGTCTACCACAAACAAGTTTCTCAAGGCCATATGTCTATAATTTGCCTTTTCAGTATTTTGAATATTGCTAGATTAAAGGTTATTGGTATTAAAACAGATAAAATTACTTTAACCAATTTTTTTCTCTTATTCCTGCTGTGTTGAGTAATACTTAGTGAAGGGGAATCTACTCCAAATTTTGGAACATAATGTTGTTATATTAGATATATTTGTAACATGTGTGGTAAAATGTTATTGTTCATATCCACAAATATTGACTTTCCTGATTTTTATGAAATAATAATAGAGAAATTGAAATGTGAACTAGAAATCTAAAGCCTTGCTGACCTATATCACTAAGTTGTTAAGAATGAATTCAAAGAATCATAGAATGCAGAGATTTTCTAGTTCAACCACCTTTCATTTTATAATTGAGCAAACAAAGGATTATTACTTCTTAATCATTTTGTCCTACAATCTCAAAGACCTGTGTCTTTCCAAGTATAAACAAAGGAATAAAAAACATCCTCCCCCTTTTGGTATTCTTCCCTATGAGCCAAGAATGAAAGGATTATCCCTGTACTTTATCCTTATTACACACACTGAATAGCCGGCCTATCAGTGTGAAGGAATATAAGCCGATTCTCTGGAAGTATATATCCTATACAATTAGAGCTTTCTTTTAAAGACTCTTTTTTTGCAAGGAATTCTGTGTGTGTGTGTGTGTGTGTGTATGTGTGTATACACACGTATGTATGTATATATGTATTGTATGTGTATTATATATGCATATATGTGTGTATATGTATATATATGTTTATAAGGAATTCCATATATGTATGTATTTGTGTATATTATATTTCTATTTTAATCTCCTTAGCCAGTTTTTAACTGAATTCAATTTACCTTGCTCTGCTACCAGTCAGAAAATGTGTTTATGTAACCTGTGGTCCAGTGCCCCAAGTTCTGTACTTTTATGAGCCAAGTTTAAGCTTGAGGGCTGACATTTCCTCCAGAAGGGGCAGGGCAGGGGGAGCAGGGGACGTAACTTTTGACACTTCTCTTGAAAGCTGGGGTTCAGGAACTCCTGTCACTTAGCCCCAAGGTTCTCTTCTTCGTTGCTGCCATCTCAACCTGAGGATCTATACCACTGCCTCTCCATCCTTGGAACCAGGAACTTGGGATCTAAGAACTCTTTTTTTGAACCTCATGAAAGAGAGCATATACAACCTAAATGAGCCATTTGCAGTTCATGGAGTATGGTTATGGACATGCTATCACTCCTATCCCCACTCTATTACCCAGGTTTTATCTTCTCTCTCTGCTTCTCTCTGCTTTCTGGTCTGTGCCCAGCTTTTTGGGAACCTCTCTAAAGGACAGACTCTACAATTCACTCTTTTTGACAGGCCTAACACAAAATGGTGACTTCACTGTCTGAGACAATCTGTTCATTCATAGTCCTGAGACTTAATATGTATCATCTTCAGTGAAATAGTAATAGTTATGCCTGGTAGAGGTCTCCTAATTCTTTCATAGGTTGTCAATGGGCACACCTAAACAATCGTTCACTGCAGTGTAAGCCCACCAAGTTGATCCAGGAACTGCCACATACATACACAAATAGGTACACACACACACACACACACACACACAAACACGCATATGTATAAGGCAGCCAGGTGGTACAGTGGATAGAATGCCAGGCCTGGGGGATTCATCTTCCTGAGTTCAAATCTGGCCTCAGACACTTACTACCTGTGTGACCCTTGGCAAGCCACTTAACCCTGTTTGCCTCAGTTTCCTCATTTGTAAAACTGAGCTGGAGAAGGAAATGGCAAACCACTCCCATATCTTTGCCAAGAAAACTCCAAATGGGGTCACAAGGAGCCTAACACTATTGAAAATGACTGAACAACCACAAATATATATGTGTGTGTATATATATATATACACACATGAATTTATAGGTATATAAATATAGGTATATATACACATAAAGTTATACTGCTGAATAATATTGTATATTATAAAATAAACTGGTTAAGTGACTTCAAAATATTGAAAGTAATGAAGTAAATATTTTTGGAATTCCTTTTCTTCAAAAATCCCGTAATTGAGAAAAGTATTGCCTGCATGTATACATGTATTTTTATGCTTTAGTTCCCTTTAGTGTTATAGATGGTATTGTTTTTTCTTTCATTCTTCTAATAAGTCAATATCCTCTTTGTGCAAGGAATTATACTGGTCCTATCATAATATACTTTCTGTTTTACAATTTATTCAATCTCTACCTCCAGTTATTTCTATTTTATGACCTTCTGCAAAGCTAGGAAACCAGACATTGCATCTTGAGTTTTAAGATTTCATCTCACTGCCCTGCTTTGAATCTTTTGAATGGAATACATAATCATAATCTTAAATAGAGGGATTCCTAGACCTAAATAAGTAACATATCTATTAATTTTTTTAAATAAAAAATTGTATTTCATAATCACTGGTAAGACTGAACATATTTTTGCTTAATACTAATGTGAAATTTTGTAGGAAGAAAGCTATTTGTTATACCAGAAGAATTTTATCATTTAATCTAAGGAAGACCTGATGATTGTTTGAATATTTAGCTTTTCTTTATATCCCTATAATTGTAAATATAACCTACCAAAGTTATGTAGAATCCTCCAGGCAAATCTATTTAGTATAAATTTGCTTCTCTTTTCATTTACTTATGCAAATGACCTTTCTCCATATTGCTTAGTTTGAAAGAACTAAATTGTTGCTCAAGCAGTTAAACAATTAATTGGTTTTAAAGGTATACTTTCTCCCACTCTTGTACTTAAATAGTATACACCTATTAATAATTTTCCTATCCTAACATTAGGGTGACATTATGTAACTAATTACTTTTAAGCTTAAAAATATTTAGTCAGTATTTAACTTTTTTCCTTTCCATTTGTCTAATTGTGGATTAGGATATTATTGAAAAAATTCAAGCTTCCAAGAAATCATGAATGTAAGTATCCTTAGTGGCATCTGAGATTCGTGGATTTAAGAACTTTGAATTTAGGAACTTTTAATAAATTCATTTATGAAAATTTGAAGTATAAATATGCTCCAAATGGCAGAAACTCTATAACTTTATGTTTTAGTATAGCTGATTTTTGTTCAATTTCCGGGCATTATTACAATTCCTTTACATTCCCTGACACACATAGCACACTGCCAACTATCTGTAGCACAAATTATTACTTTACATAATGTAATTCTTTCACGATCTCTAAGTAAAAAGTGTTTTGTATGCTGTCTTAAAATTCAAAGCATCTTTTAAACATAAAGTATCTTTTGCTTGGTCGGTGATTGGACAGGTGGAACTTTATCAATGTTTGCTAAACAGTGTTTCACTGTTTGGATATAAAACTTTTTGTTGGAAGATGGATGTAGAATGAAATTTTGTTTCACAGCTGTTTAGAATCCAGAAATGGACAGCTGATAGAAAATGTCATTCAAAAATGTTATTGACTGAAATTATTGGCCTCATGCAAAAGACGACATTTTTAAAAGTCACAGTCATGATGTTTACATCAGTACCTCAAACAAAAATGCCTCCTCCCTTCCTTAATAAACTGTTACATAAAAAGGTGGCTTTTAGAGGGGAACTCTTTTGCAAAGCAGTAGTTGCTTGTCTAATAGCACAGCATAATCTATTCCATCTCTGTATCCACTTACAGATCATTTCACTGCTCCCTTAACATTCTCCCAACACTGTTCTCAGCCTTCTCTTTTTTACACTCCAAAAACCTACTTCATGAGTTTGTTTACAGGGAAGGTACTTTGTAGATATAAAAAAGCCTATAAACGTAAGTTCGTGTTATCACCGTTGTCACTGAAAAACTCAATGCATTCTGACTTCAACTATCATTTCCATGCACATAATGGCCTTGTCAGTTTGTTCAGCTCTTGACCTCCAGATTCCCATTGCCAACTATCTACTCAACATCCAATATTTGTATGTCTCTCTAACACCTTGAAAGGATAGATTATGTGTATTGTAAAATAAGGTTTAACATCTCTAAAATAAATCACGTTGTTTCATTCCAAAACCGCTTCCTCAGCCTAATTTCCTTATTTCATTCAACAGTATCACACTTCTCTGTCATCAATGGATTTAACCTGGAAGTTAATTTTTTTTTGTCTCATGCCTTGTATTTGATCATATATCAACTCTTTTTGATTATATTTCCAGAATGTCTGTCCTATTCTTCCCCTCTGTATTATCACTACTACTATTACCCCTTTACTGCAATATTGCCATTAGCCTGCTAAGCATTTGATAAGCCCTCAGTCTTCCTTCTTCCAATTTTTTGTGCGCATTACTACTAGATTAATCTCCCTAATGCACATCTTTGATTACATCAACTACTTTGCTCTAAAACCTTCAGTGGCATTCAAAGGTCTCCACATTCTAGCTCCAAACAGCCTTATCTAACCTCAAGTCAAGCTGAACATGTGCCCTGAATATTTCCTATATTTTCCCATTTCCATGCCTTTTTTCATGTGGTGGCTGAAAAGTAGTTTCCTCATCTCTGTCAGATAAAACCTTACCAACCTGGCCAACCTAGATGTCCCTTCATCCACAATGCCTTCCCTGATTCTCCTTAAAAGAGATCCCTCCATCCTATAAAACCTCTCTTCTACACTTGATGCTTTCTGCTTTGTATTCTGATTTTTCATATCACCCTTACTAGATAATAATCATGAGGTTAGGAACTATTTCTTATTCAACTTATTCATCACATAATGCCTTCTACTTGCTTAATGAATATTGAATAAAGTAAATTGTGTGAACTATATCATATTTTTATATTAGCATGTATTTGTAGGTGAATTCAAAGTAACTAGAGTAATAAGAATTTTTAGAAATCAAAGGTTTCTCAATTAAGACATAATTTGTAAAGAGAAGACATGTTCTGATCAATAAAGGGAAAAAATCCTGAGTTGTAGCCAATTCATCTTAGAATTAGTTAGCTATCGTAGTATACTTCTTCTCTACTTCTCAGCTTAAACTCAGAAAAACTTTTGTAACCAGTGCCTCCACTTCTCTTTTTACCCTCTTCAAAATCCTCTGCAATCTAGCTCCCAACCTCATCTTTCAACTGAATTGTCATCTTCAGTGTTACCAAGGATCTCTTAATTGTCAAATCGAATGGTGTTTTTTCAATCCTCGTCTTTCTTGACTTCTCTGTAATATTTGCATTGTTAATCACCTCATTCTAGGTAAAACCTTTGGGTTTTCATGGTTCTCATGGTTTTCCTACCATTCTCAGTTCATTTTCAGTCACTTTTGCTGAATCTTGACCTTTGTCACAGTCACTAACTATGAGTATCCTCCAGGGCTCTGTTTTGGGTCTTTTACTTTCATACTTGATGATTTCAGCTCCCATAGATTCAGTCATTATCTCTATGTATATCAATCCAGCATAGTCTCCTTCCTGATCCCTAGTCCCACATCACCAACTGCCTATTAGACATTTCAAACCAGATGTCCCATATGGATCTCATACTCATCGTATTAAAATTCATATAATTATCTTTTTCCACAAACCCTCCCCTTTTCTGAATTTTCCTATTACTTTGCAGGGCCCCACCATCTTTCAGCCAGATTCTCAACCTCAATGTCAACTTCAACTACTCTCTTTCATTAACCTGATATATCCAGTTTAGTTGTAACAACTTGTGATTTCTTTTTTTTTTTCTTGCAAGGCAGTTGGGGTTAAATGACTTGCCCAGGGTCACACAGCTAGTAAGCATTATGTGTCTGAGGTCATATTTGAACGCAAGTCCTCCTGAATCCAAGGCCACTACTCTATCTACTGCGCCCCCTAACTGCCCCAGGATTTCTTTATCTACATTATCTCTCACATATATTCTCTTCTCTGCCTTCACACAGCCATCTACCTACTTGAAGCCCACATCACCTTTCATCAAGACTACTGTGATAGCCCCCATAATTGGTCTTCCTGTCTGGTTTCTCCCACTCCCTTCCATCCTCAATTCAGCTGCCAAAGAAATTTATCTGAAGCACAGATCTGACTATGTCATACTCTTGATCAGTAAACCCTGGTGACTTCCTTTCCCTCCAGGCTCAAATATGAAATCTGTCTTTCCAGTTCTTTTCTAGGAACGCATTACTCCCATATGCATACTGTACGGTTCAACCATCCTACCTCACGTATTTCCCTGCCTTTGCACTAACTGTTCCCCATTCCTAGAAAGCTCTTCCTCTTCATACTTAACGCTTAGCTTTCTTGGCTTCCTTCAAGACTCAACTTTAATTCTGATTTCTGCTGGTCTTTCTGTTCCTCCCATCTCCCTTCCTCCATAATATCTTCCCTGAGAGTGCCTTCTTCTGTAAGATTGCCTTCCATCTACTCTATATATCTTGCATGTACTTAGTTAATTACATGTTCTCTCCCCCATTAGAATGTGAGCTGATTGAGATCAGGGACTGTTTTTGCCTTTCTTTTTATCCCCAATTCTTAGCACAGTGCCTAACACATAGTAAGTGCTTACTATATGCTTGTTCATTGATGAATCAGTAGTTTTCTTTAGCTTTTTAATGAACATAATCTTACTTGTCTCATACTAGAAAAGGAAGATTATAATTGCAAAGAAGTAAACAAAATATAAATGTTAGTTGATACTGAAAAAGTATAATTTCTGCTAAAATGATCATCTTTTCAGTGATTCATTTTCTCTCAACTAGCATAAGACTTTGTACATATTTTATTAGGCATTGTTTAGAAATACAAAAGAAATAGAGGGCTTAGTTTATTTACATGGTGCTTATAATCTAAGTGAAAGAAAAATAGATAGGTAACATATGGGTTCAATAGTATCTTGTAAGCTATGTCCCTGAGCCCTAAGAAGTAAATGGTAGAGCTGGGATTTGAGCATAGACCTTGACTTGTCCTCTTAGTAAGCTCTGCCATTTACTACCTGTGTGAATTTGGGCAAGTAACTTAATTTTTCTGGGACTCAGTTTCCACATCATAAAAAGAGAGAGCTGGACTAGAAAGCTTCAGAAGTATTTTCTAACTCTAAATATATGATCCTATGATCTATACCTTTAAAAGTGGGATATTTTCATTTCTTACAGTGTGTTAAAATTTTTTCCTCTATTGCACCTAGGTTCCCATAGTGGACAATACTGCCCCCTGGGGGCGCTGGGACAATCCAAGGGGCAGTAAAAAGCCTCAGGTGCTGCAAATTAAAACAAAACAAAACAAAAAAAGACATTGAAGGATTAAAGAAAGCAGATTTCCGGAGGAGGGGGGGAAAGTGGCGGTGGGGGGTCCTGAGTAATTTTTTTTTTAAAGGGGACAGTATGCCAAATAAATTTGGGAACCTCTGTATGAGTTATCTTCCTATCCATTCATTAAGTAATTCTTTTGTTAATTTATACACTTCTGCATCTCTGCTATTCCTGAGTCTTTTTTTTCAAGATTTTTTATTTTTCTCTTTCCTTTTAATGAGGCCTCAGCAGTATTTTTAATTTCCATAATTAACCTGCTTCTTCCTCATCATCTTTGCTAGATGAAACCCAAAGATTTTCTCAGTAGCTCATTCAGAGACGAGGCAGATTGGGTCTTTGTGACAAAAGGCCCATGTTCCCACCCTTCTGCCCTCCAAAAGAGTATGATTTGAAAGCTGATCTTACTATGCATTCAGAACTTTTCTGTACTAAATAAGACTTTTAAACATTCAAGGGAAAATAATTGAGACTTCCCCCAGAAAGACAGTGATTGTCCTTTATCTGATAATGTATTACAAAACCCTATAAGTCAGTCAACAAGCATTTATTAAGTAGCTGCTATGTGCCAGCCACTCTGCTATGAGCTAGGGAATGCAAAGACAAAAATAGAAGTCTTAGCTGTCAAGAAGCTTATATTCTATTAGGTTTGGAAATACTGTGCAGTGAATAAAATTCCAATAATTTAATGGCAGATATAGCTGAAGTGGTAAAAAATTAATAAGGCATTCAGAAAGAAAGAGAAAAATTAAGATGGAGCAGATTTTAGGATGAACTGACCAAAAGTGCAGATACTAGGAACTCATCCTTCTAGACTAGAAAAATCTGTATCAAAAAGCAAAAAAGAAACTGAGGTTGCCCTTCTCAATAAGACCAACTCTTCTATATATACCTTTGATCTCATCCTTTCCTGTCATCTCTAGTCAGTTGTCCCCATTATCACTCCCAGTCTATAATCTTCAATCTGTTCTATTTCTAGATTTCTTCCCCATTGCCTAAAAATATGCTTGTCTCCCCCATTCTTAGGGGGAAAAAATAACTTGTTTCATTCCTACTAACTGTTATACTTTATCTTTCCTTTCCTTTTTAGCTAAATTCAGAGGGAAAAAAAAAATCTATATTCAGTGCCTTTATCTTTTTTTACTCTTTTTTTAGGGGGAAAAAGAGTTTAGTAATTTGTTTTGATTTTTACACTGAAGTCCCCCCTATAATTCTTCTCCCATATAGTATGCTCTTCCACAATCCCATCAACAACAAAGTTAAGCAAAACCTTTCTCCTTCTCTTCCATATACCCTTTGCAACCTGGATTCCAACCTCGTCCTTCTTCTGAAATTGCTCTGTCTAAAATTACTAGTAATCTCTGAATTGCCAAATGGCCTCTTCTCAGTTCCTCACTTTTCTTGAACCTTCTGTAGCATTTAACACTATTGATCACCTTTTTTTTTTTTTCTGGATACTCTCCCTTCTCTGGGTTTTCATGACTGTTCTCTCTTAGTTCTTGTCCTACTTGTCTGACAGCTCTTTCTCATCTCCTTTGCTGAATCTTTATCCATGTCACTGTCATCTCTACTTGCCTGGGCTAGTTCAGTAGCCTTTTAATTGTACTCCCTGAGTTGTTCCTACAGTCCAATCCAGATTCTATAGTGATTTTCCTAAAAAGCATAGATCTGACTGTGTAACCCCCTTAGTCAATAAACTGCCATCCTTCCCTGGCCATCCCCCCACAACATCCGAAGCTTCTCTAAGGCAACCTTCCACATATGCTGCATGTATCTTATATATATATATATACTTATTTATATACCTGTCTCCCTGACTAGAATGTAGGCTACCTGAGGATAGGAACTATTTTTAGCATATAATAAGCATGTCTGTTGAGCACATATGAAGCTTCTGACAAATGTTTATTGATTGATTACTGGAGTTACTTGCCTAATGTAACACAACTAATTAGTGTTGCCCAAGCCAGATCAGAATTTAGGTCTTCTGTCTCCTAGGCCAGTACTTTTTCTATCATATCATATATAGAACATGCTTGGTTTTCTTTCTTTTCTTTTTTTTTTTTGTCGCTCAACCTGTAGCCTCCATTTTGTAATTTCTTAACCAAACTCTTTACCTAGATAACTCCTTTTCCATTTTCTAATATTTTTTCAGTGCAACACTCACTTTCTACCAGTTTTTCTTCATTGGTAAATGGAATTTGAAGCTTCTTCCTTCTCCCCATTTGTTAGGCTCTTTTACCTTCTGTAAAGGTAATAACAGTTCTACATTTGACATACCTAAAATACCTTTCTTCCAGAGGCATACATCATATGTGTGTGTTATCTTTAAAGTTCATTTAATTTATTCCATAGTGCTTTTTATTAAAGGTCTGTATTAGCAGGGCAACCCTTTGAAGAGTCATACATAACTGGTACACAGAAAGATGAGTAACAGAAACTGTATTAACAATTTTATACACGTTTCTAATGATTCACTCCAAATATGACATTCCATATATTGTTTGGGGTTTTTTGTTTTGTTTAACTTCATTTTGAAATTCTTTTTCACATTTATTTCCGCTTCCAAATATATGCTTAAAAAAAAACTAGCAGTCCTCTGCTATTACTTCTTTGATACTTTTTAAATTTCTTTTCCTCTTATTCTTATGGTCTTATATCTGTTTTATTAATTTTTGCTCCAGTTCTTCTATTATTCCCACTATTTGCATATTTATGTATTTTCTCTTCTTCTGCTATTACTAGGGTAATGTCCAATGAGAGAGTTTGCAGATGACAAATAGAGCCTCCAAAGTTTAATGACACTCTATTTTATAACTAACACCAAATCCTAACTTTTTCCTCATTCTCTTAGAGGTGATAAAGAAGAGTTAAATTCCCTTTTATCCATAAATAACCAGATTTTCAGTTTTTGCAGGAAATAGACATTCCAAAAATCAGTCAGAATTAGCTGTGTATCCTTTACCCAATGTAATTTTTCTAATGTTCGAAAGAAAGTTTCAGTTTATATGTAAAATATTTTAGTAATTCTACAATTTAAAGTGGTTATCAATGAATCTTAATTTTGAGTGGGTTTTCCTCAGATGCTTTTCAGTTGGGTCTTGTGGAACGAGAAATCAGTGAATTGCTTCGGGGATTACATCGAGAACAGACTCCACAGCCAACTAAGAGACCATATATTGAAAAAGATGGATACATCAAACAGAAGGAAATTTGTTCAGATGATGTCTGCTCCATATGTCAAGAAGAGCTCCTAGAAAAAAAGTTACCAGTCACCTACTGCAGGTTATTTTTCTCTTGAGATAAGAAAGTTAAGGAAAAATTCTTTCTAAATTGGCTTGTCTTTAGAGAGATGGCACATGATGATTCATTAATACTGGAACAATATGAATCTTTGAATGTGATCTCAATACCAATTCAGTTGATTCAGAGTTATTTATGGTGATACAATGGAAAGGCTGGCTTAAGAATCTGAGGTCCTGGGTTCAAATCCCAGCTCTGGTACTTAAAATCTGTGAAACCTTAGACAGAACAGTTAACTTACCTGTCTGCCTCAGTTTCCTCCTTACTGAATGAGAGGGTGGGACTAGTAGACTTCTTGGATCCCCTCTCAGCTCTCTTAATCTATGAATCTATTAATTATGAGGTTTCCCAAAATGAAAAATTAAACCTTTTCTATAAAAGATAGCCTATTGTAAGAATTGTTTTCATACTGTTTTCTTTGGTAAACTTTTAATGGATCAAAAATTAAATTAGGCTTAGAAAATCAATCCTAACCTTTAATTTACACAAAATTTCAAAATAATTTATATGCATAATTTACATGATTATATATACAGATATTTATGTATGCATATATATAATGTGCAAGTATGTATACATATGTGTATATACTTTGAAAGTAAAGAAATAATGTAATACTATTATATTTATGGTAGTACTTAAAATATAAAGCTATTCTCTCACTTTAGTATGGTAAAATACCTTGTAGCTTTCAAAATCCATTTATAAATAATATATATAATATATAATATACAATATATAATATATAATACAATATATTTTATCATAATGTATAAATAACTTAATATTTTAAATATTAATAAATAATTCAAAATTTTATTTGCACTTAAATATTTGAAGGATAAATAAAATTTTGAAGTGCTTATAAATATTTAAATTTAATAAATTTTATAATTCAATATATTTGTGACAATATAAATATATAAATATTAATACTTAAATACATTTAATAAAATGATATTTTAAAATATTGTTCATGCTAATCTACCTTCTTAAATAATATTGCATTTTTTTATTTCCATTTCTTTCATTCATTTCCATTAATAATTTTCTCCCAATTTCTAGGGAGCTTAGTTTTCCATACCTGTTTTTATCAACTTTTATCTGATCTAAGAAAATATCCCATTTCCAAAGTGTTTCCTGAAGTGTTAATAAAGAACTTCATATCATCATAGAATTGCTGAAGTGGATAATACTTTAAAAGTAATCTAATCCAGCCTTTGTGAAACATAAATCCTATTTACTGCATCCTGAGTATCAGTTTCAGATCTCTGCTTGTGAAGAATTCATTATCCTTCAAAGCAAACTATTCCATTTTTGGACAGACTTATTTGTTTCAAGATATTTCTTATTTTATATTTAGCCAAAATCTGCTGCCCTAATTTCCATCAATTGGTCTGGCATTTGCCTTCTAGGGCCAAACAGAACCAATTTAGTACTTTGCTGCATGATAACCTTTTAGATATTTAAAAGCTATAACCCTTAAAACCTCCTCTTCCCCTTCCTAAACATTCCTAGTTACTTCATTCAGTTCTTGAATGATTTGCTTTTGAGCCTCCTTACTAGTCTAACCACATTCTCCACCCACCAATGTAGCTTATCTTAAGCCTTTCTAAAATGTGACCCCCAACACTGGACATCATCAGTACTCCAAGATATTCCTGTCTTCCCCAAACTGTATTTATGAGTTGTTTTTTAAACCCACGAACAGAATTTACTTCAATTAATTTTCATCTTGTTTAGGGATAAGATAATGAGATATTTGCGGATCCTTATTTAGTTATACATTGTGTTATCCCTCCCCGAATTTGCGTCACTTGCGAAGCATATTATCTATGTCTCACTGAAATTACTAATAAAATGTTGAAGAGAATACAGTTAAGGACAGGATCTTGAGGTAGCAGTCCTCTGGAGAGCTTCTTATATTGATCCATTAATCAACACTCTAGGTTTAGTCAGTCAAACAGTTCTAAACACATTTCTCTGTAAGGGTATTATGAGAAATTGACCAAGTGATACCTGTATGAGATCCAGTTATAATATGTCTATGGATTTTCCCCATTATCCTATTAAGTAACCATGTCAAAAAAAAAAAAAAAAGAAGAAGAAGAAGAGGTAGAAGTGTGCTTGTCTGCCATACAAAATTCTCTATCCATGCACATAGGCTCACAGTGACTGCCTCTCCTTAAGTGCTTATACTCTGTCCTTTTAAAAATCCATTCTAGAATTTTTTCAGGAAACAATGACAAGCTCACTAGACAACAATCAACAGTCAATAGTTATTTAAAGTCTCTGTCTTCCATAGCTTTTTTTAATCTATTGTTTGTATGCCTCAAGTCCTGCAACATCTCCCCTATTCGCTGCAAATCCTTGAAGACAACATAATTTTTAAAATCTGAGATTTTTAAGATATAACGATACATCACGTTATGGTAAGTGGGTAAGATTTTTAAACTGTAACAAGTAATTCTGATAATATTCTACCAATTCTGCCCTAACCTCTCTGCTGACCTCCAATCTCATATCACCAGCTGCCTTTTAACTAGCTATCCAGTAGACATCTTAAACTAAATATATCTAAAATAGAGCTCTTTATCTTTCCCCCTAAACCCTACTCCCACCTTCCCTATTACTATAAGGAAACCACACCATGCGCCCAATCCCTCAGGTTCAAAACCTAATAGTCATCCTCAGTTCTTCATCTCTGACCTCCCCCTCATATCCAATCTTTTGCCAAAACCTATTGATTTCACCTTTGCAACATCTCTCAAATATGGCCCCTTTTCTCTTCTGACACTTACCGCCACGCTAATGCATGCCCTCATCACCTCATGCCTGGACTATTACAATATCCTGCTGGTGAGTCTACCTGCCTCAGAACTCTCCCTACTCCATCCTCCATTCAGCCACCAAAGTGATTTTTCCTAAAGTGAAGATCTGACCATGTCACTCTCCTACTTAATAAAACTCCTATGGTTCGCTGTAGCCTCCAGGATCAAATACAAAATCCTCTGTTTGGCATTCAAAGCCTTTCATAACCTAATCCCCTCCTACCTTTCCAGTCTTCTTATACCTTACTCCCTATTACATACTCTTCTGTTCAGTGACACTTGCCTCCTGGCTGTGCCACAGATAAGACACTCCATCTCTCAGCTCCTGACACTTTTTTTTTTTAATAAATTTATTTTCAGTTTTCAACATTTATTGAGTTCCAAATTTTCACCCTATCTCGCCCCTCCCCCCACCCCAAGATGGCATGCATTCTGAATAGCCCTTCCCCTAGTCTGCCTTCCCTTTTATGTCACCCCCCCCTTCTCTTATCCCTTTCCCCTTCTATTTTCCTGGAGGGCAGGATAGATTTCTCTACCCCATTTCCTGTATTTCTCATTTCCCAGTTGCATGTGAAAACATTTTTTTAAACATGTGTTTTTAAAACTTTGGGTTTCAAATTTTCTCCCTCCCTCCCCACCCACCCTCATTGAAAAGGCAAGCAACTCAATATAGGTTATACGTGTGCAGTTATGCAAAACACTTCCATAGTAGACATGCTATGAAAAACTAACTCTATTTCCCTTAATCCTATCCTGCCCTCCCCCATTTATTCTATTCTTTGTTTTGACCCTGTGCCTCCTCAGAAGTATTTGCTTCTGATTATCCCCCTTCCCAGTGTGCCCTCCTGTCCATCATCCCCCTACTCTCTTGTCCCCTTTCCGCCTGTTTTCCTGTAGGGTAATACCTAATTGTGTATGTTATTCCCTCCTTAAGTCAAATCCTATGAGATTAAGATTCACTCATTCCCTCTCACCTTCCCCCATTTCCCCTCCAGTGTAAGAGCCTTTTCTTTTCTTTTTGTGAGATAATTTACCCCATTCTACCTTTCCCTTTCTCCTTCTCCTAGTATAATCATCTCTCACCCCTTAATTTTATTCTCCAGATATGACCCCCTTCATCTTCAACTCACCCTGTGCCCCCTAGCTATCTGTCTGTCTGTCTATCTATCTATCTATCTATCTATCTATCTATCTATCTATACATACATACATATAATTTTCCCTCCAACTATCCCAATACTGACAAAGGTCTCATGAGTCACAAATATCATTTTTCCATGCAGGAATGTAAACAATTCAACCTTAATAAGTGTCTTATGATTTCTCTTTCCTGTTTACCTCTTCATGTTCCACTTGAGTCTTGTATTTGAAAGTCATATTTTCTATTCAGCTTTGGTCTTTTCATCAAGAATGCTTGAAAGTCCTCTATTTCACTGAATGACCATTTTTTCCCCTGAAGGATTATACTCAGTTTTGCTGGGTAGGTGATTCTTAGTTGTAATCCTATTTCCTTTGCCCTCTGGAATATTATATTCCATGCCCTGCGGTCCCTTAATGTAGAAGCTGCTAAATCTTGTGTTATCCTGATTGTGTTTCCACAATACTTGAATTGTTTCTTTCTGGCTGCGGATAATATTTTCTCCTTGACCTGGGAACTCTGGAATTTGGCTACAATATTCCTAGGAGTTTTCCTTTGGGGATCTCTTTCAGGAGGAGATTGGTGGATTCTTTCAATTTCTATTTTGCCCTCTGATTCTAAAATATCAGGGCAGTTTTCCTTGATCATTTCTTGAAAGATGATGTCCAGGCTCTTTTTTTGATCATGGCTTTCAGATACTCCAGTAATTTTTAAATTCTCTCTCCTGGATCTATTTTCCAACTCCTGATACTTTCTCTGGTTGTCCCTTATGCCTGGAACAACCTCCCTCAACTTCACCCACTGGCTTCCTTTTAAGTCCCAACTAAAATCTCATCTTCTGCAGAAACCCTTTCCCAAGTCCTCTTAATTCTAGTGCCTTCCCTCTTCTTTTTTATCTTCTATATAGCGTCTTTGTTTATATTTGTTTGCACGTTGTCTCTACCATTAGATTGTGAACTCCTTGAAGGCAAGGATTGTCTTGGCCTCTTTGAATCTTCCATGCTTAGCAAAGTGCCTGGCACATAAGCACTTAATAAATGTTTAGTGATTGATTTATTGATTGATATTTTTTTTTATTTTACAAATGAAGCACTAGTGAAATAAAATCCTACAATAAATCAAACAGGCTAAATTGAAATTTTTCTGATGTAACTCTTATGCTTAGCACTTCTAGAAATGTATAATTCAGTAGAGACAAAGAAATTATACCTGGAAATCAATTCAGAACTGTGTCTTATGAGGGGGAAAAGTTGTAGTAACTTTCTGATGGTAACAGTTAACTTGATATAACAGTTTTTGATGATACACAGTTAGTAGAGAAACAGATTTGATGGTACATTGAATAGTTATAATGTTATTGGTAAAAAATAACTTTTGCAAATTCTCTATTATTTCTATCAGGTATGGTTGTGGTAATAGTGTTCATATAAAATGTATGAAAATATGGGCTGATCATCAGGATAAGTCATCAAAAAACTCTGTTGTCAAGTGCCCTCTATGCAGGGAAGAGTTTGCACCTTTAAAACTTATTTTAGATGAATTCAGAAACTCCAATAGACTTGTGACAGCAGCAGAGAAAGAAAGGCTTGACAAACACCTTGGAATTCCATGTAACAACTGCAGACAGTTTCCAATTGAGGGAACATGTTATAAGTAAGTATTAATCATTTTAAAAATTAGAAAAATAGCCTTTATTTTTCACAGTATCAAAACTTCTTAACTCAATAAGTCCTAGTTTAATGACTCACCTTGGCATGCAAATGACTCTGAAAGCCTCTTCAAAAAGAGCCCAAGCTCTAATAGGTGTATCCAAGCTGGAAAGACTTAAAAGTATGGACCCTGAAACAGATGGTGTTGCCTGAGGACCAGGTTAACCAACTTATAGAGAAGATCATTGCCAGACGGTTGACCGCTAAGGTTTTGAATTTTTCAGACACAAAAATTAAAGAAACATTGAGGGGTTACAGGTTACATTGGGGGAGATTCTCAAATTGCTAGTCTTTCGAAGTGCATAGTAACTTCCTAGCAGCATTGCATGTTCCAGTCTAAGTCTCTGTTCTGAAAGAGCTTATAGTTTAATGGGAAAAACAACAACATACAAACAAGATACATAAAAGATAAATTGGAAATTAGCTCTTCTTGCGTAAGAGAAGACTTTAGCTGTAACTTGAAGGAAGCCAACAGGTAGCAATGAAGAGGGTCAAAATTCCAGGCATGGAGAACAGCCAGTGAAAACAATCTGAGGCAAAGACATAACAAATCAAAAGTCTCTTGTTAATACCAGCCTTTTTAAATGGACTGTTAAAATCTGTTGCATTTCCTTTTTTTGTCAGCTTTCCCATGTATTTTGAAGAAGACATTATTTCCTTTTCCATTCTACTGAAGCATTTGCCTCTTGAGTTATTTTTGGCATATATTTTTAATAAATCTAGTTTTTGTTATTTCTCTATTCGTCTTTTTTAAAGAAAAGAATTTTCCAGCCTTATTTCACTCTACTCTCCTTCATGTGAGAGTACCACTCTATGTTAAAACCAAACCAAGCTAATATCTATTGCTCTATGTAGTTCTGTCTTCTAATTCCATGCATTTGCCCAGGTTGTTGACCAGGCCACATTCTTACCTAGTAAAATCTTTCACTTTCTCCAAGAACCACTTTATGCTTCACCTTTTCTATGATATTTTTCCTTATTCCCTCACAGATAAAAGTGATCTCTATCTCATTTTGTTTGGTTTTTATTTAGACCTCTCCACTTTGTTTAGACCTCTCCTTTTCCCTTATCATATTCTGCTTTGTAGCATACTTATTTGTGTATGAGACAGTATTTCAGATAGCCAAGCAGTGCGGTTGGATGAAGTCCTGGACCTGGAGTCAGGAAGGCTTGAGTTCAAATTCAGCTTGAGACACTTAACTAGCTGTATGACCCTAAGCAAGTCACTTAAGCTTCTGCGCCTCAGTTTCCTCATGTGTAAAATGGGAATAATAATAGTACCTACCTCTCAGAATTATTGTAAGAATAAAATGAGATAATATTTATAAAGCAATTTGAAAACCCTATGGTACTATATAATACTAGTTATTATTTGTGTACAGATGAATAATAATCTCTCATTAGAATATAAGCTGCTGGAGGATAGGAGTTGCAATTTTCATCTTTGTGTCCTCCGTGCCTGGGACAATATCTAACATACAGTAGTTGATTAATACATATTTGTTTAATTGTTAAAGTATACTATAATCCTAACTGATACTCAGATTAATAGACTGAAGAACACTGTAAACTCATAAATTATAAATACATTTAACTTACACATTTGGAAAATGAACCAATAAAGATTTTCATTAATTTTGAAACAAAAGTATTCTGGTAATTCTTAGTTAATTAGAATTTTTAGTTCACTAGAATATCTCATATCCCAGTTTATCAGTGTTTTCTTGTCACATTTTTGTTCTTTAGGAAATTTTGTGGTGTCCTTACTGTTCAAGTTGGAAGAAAAAAATAACCAAGTGATCATAATGCTTTTTTTCTTTCTCCAGTAACAATAGAGACTTCATAAAAATTATGAAGGATATATTGTGCTTATCATAATAGTTAATGTTTTTAATACAGGTACAGTGTGAGAAATTTTAGAAATTATTTTGGTGGTTTCAGAAACTAAAACTATACTCAAAACATTCATATTTGTAGTTTACATAGTCTATTGACTCTAAAGTATGCTATCACCTTTTTTTTTCCAAATAAGTCAGAATTTATTCTTGAAGCCATTAGAAGTCTCTGCTAATTTTATTTTTACATATTTGAAATAATTATTCTTCTTGCTCAGTTTTCAATTTCATATGGTAAATAATAAAAGATATTAGGATAGCAAGAAAATACATCATATTGTGTGTGTGTGTGTGTGTGTGTGTGTGTGTGTGTGTTACCTACACATTATAAGAACCATGTGCTTGTTAATCCTCAGGACTTCCTAAGAAACATCTATTTTTAGAGTATATTTGTGTCTTTTCCACCAGCCCTAGTTCTTAGGTCGGTGATCTACATACAGTTGCTATTAAATGATTGTTGATTAAATGAATAACTGCTAGGTTATACTTTGTGTCCTGGATGGAGGTGGAGGGTGCAGAGTTAAGAGTATGGGAACTACCAATGACAAAGAGTAGGCCTAGGAGGAAGGATGCTATAGTAGAAAGACTTCTGGACATGGAGTCAGAAGCTTTGGGTTCAAGTTGTGACTCTGCCACTTATCAGCTATGTTGCTTTCACCCCCTGGACCTCCTTCCTCATTTGAACCAAAACAGGATTTGATAAGATTATCTCTAAGAGCTTTTCCCATTCTATGGCATATCATGTAGGACTTCATAATTTGCTTTTGAGTTCTGATATCCTGTGACTTTCCCAAGGGTTGAGTTATTGTCTTTATACAGATAACTCTCAAATCTATAAATCTAGCTCTTTCTTAATCCTCATTCTCATGCCATCATTTGCCTTAGAGACATTTCCCAGTAGATGTCCCATAGGTTTCTCAAACTCAACTTGTCAAAAATAGAATTCATTCCTTCCCCTAAACCTGTTCTTCTTCTTGACTTCCAATTTCTTACCACCATCATGCAACTCCACCCAGTTTTGCAATGTCAGAATTATCCTAGATTCTTCACTCATCTCCTCAGACCCCAATCAATTTTCAAGTCATTGATTTTGTCTCCACAACATCTCTCAAATCCCTCCGTTTTCTTCACCACAGGGCTATCACTCTAGTTCAGGCCTTTATTATTTGTCACTGGGATTATTACAATAGCTTCCTAATTAGTTTCCCTCTCTTCTTATTCTCTTCCACTTCATACACCTTATAGATGCCAAATTGATACTCCTAGAACACAGGTCTGACCATTTCAGTTCTCTGCTCAAGAAGCTCAGTAGCTCCCTGTTGCCTTTAAGATCAAATACAAATCCTTCTCTTTTTCGTTTAAAGCCTTTCACAGCCTGACTCCAGACTTTCCAGCTAAACTGGCCACCTTGTTCTTCACACATTACATAACTTAATACTCTAGGAAGAGAGATTACTAGGGTAAAAATAATCATAGAAGACTTCATGGAGAGGGTATGCTTAAACCAGGCCTTCAAGAAAGGGTAGGATTTACAAAAGTGAAGAGTGAGGGAAGAACTTTATAGGAAAACTACTAGACATGCTACTCAATCATTATCCCATCTCTATATCTTTGCATGGACTATCACCATGTCTGAAATGCATTCATTAACTCTTTACTTCTACTTCTGAGAATCCCTACTTATTTTCAAAGTGCAGCACATGACTTCCTCCCTCTGTGACTGCCTCTCCCCCCCCCAAAAAAAAACAACTTTGTATTTACTTTGTATATATTTTGCATCTACTTGGATATGTACATGTTGTTTCCCTTGATAAAATGTAAACTCTTTAAGTACAGGAACTGTTGCATTTGTATCTGTTCACACAGTAGGTATTTAATACATACTTGTTGATTAATCAGTTGAAAAGCAATAAAGAGGTGCAGGTGAATTTAATTAAGCCTATGCAAACCAGAGAAAAATAGTGAAAGGAAGAAGGGTATAATAAAGACGTGCAAACCATTGCCTTAGGTAGAAGAGGAATAGACCAAATGTGACATAAAATTTAGTGTACTATATACAGAGGTGATTTTTTTTTCCATGGTGATCTAAAGTATCAAAATACAAAACAGCCATCAGTCCTGCAGTGACAATGATTTAACCTTGGAAACGGGTAGAAGGTACTAAGAATTACATAATTCTTATACCATTAGCTAACACTGATTTGATTGTTAGTATTCTCAGTATGTAAAACTTCAACCACTTGCCAGTGAGTTGACATATTAGTAGAAGAAGTAGACTGCATCCATATTGACATTCTTGTTATAAATGAATGCTACACTAAAACTTTCAAGATATAGAAAGAAGCAGAAAGGTATTTTGAATGGATCTCCTATGGAGAGTTTATTGAAAGACTTGGAAGAGAATTACAGAGATTAAGAAGGAAGCATAGGAGCTTTGACCTGTGCTATTGGAAGAAGACCCAAAATTTATGTGATTATCATTATATCTCTTTTAAGTATAGATAGATAGATACATAGATAGATAGATAGTCTGTCCATCAATCTATATATAGATTTATATTTATCTATTTATATAGACTAGAATTCATAACCATTTGTAAAGAGCCCTGAAGTATACGAGTGAGGTGGAAAGCTAAAATAAGATCTGGCTGTGACAAATTCAACACTTAGTGTTCTATAAATGTAGTTAGTCATTCAACTATATTGACCCTCAAATTTTTACATGAAAACATGAACAATAAAACTTACACTGGTGATTTCACAGTGTTGTATGCAAAGAGTTGTGTAAACCGTAAAGCACCACATATATAGCTATTACTATCAGAATGTAACTGATTGGAAGATAAAAGAATGATCCTCTGATGATAGAGGATAATAATAATGTTCATGAGAGGCAGCCTGGTATAGTAGAAAAAGACAGCTAGACTTGGAATCAGGACACCTGAGTTTGTATCCTGGTCCCAATACTTACTAGTGGTAAAATGAGAATTTAAAATCCCTGTAGCTCTTACCTCAAACAGTTGTTGTGAGGTTTAAATAAGATAAAGTTCTGTACAGGCTTTACAAACCTTAAAGTACTTTATGAATGTCAACAATTTTACTGTTGTTTTATTATTTTAGATTACCTGAATTATAGGAAGTCTTCATCTTAAGCCTATTGATCATCAATTAGTAAGGAATCTAAATAATTATTAGCTTTATTGAACACTCATTGAAGCATGCTCCAGGAAGGTTAAAGGTACAAAGACTTTGATTTATTTTTGTTTTACATTAGTCTGAAATATGAACTGTTCATTTCCAATACATTGCAGTATGGAATTGAGCGGTGAGATTGTTTTAGAGATCCTGTTATGTGAGGTGGTCAAAGAAGGACATTATTATCTGTATGAAGTGAATTTTGAGAATATTAAAATACATTTTTATATGTAATACCTTAAATATACATAAATTATAGATTAAAGATTGCATTTCTCCATTGATGCCCTTTTTTAATGTGAATAATAAGAGTGAGTGTAAACAGTAAGCAAGAAAAAGCAAAAACAGTAATAGTAAATGTCATTTATCTATTTCTTGATGAATATATTCAATAAGAAATATTGCCTTTTTGAGACAGTGTGGCCTAGTTCATAAAGAAAGAATTGTCCTCAGAAATTGGAAGACCAGAATTTGGATTCCATTGCTAGCACAAATTGACTTGTGACCTTGGCCAAGTCACTTAGCCTTTCAGTGTTTTAGAAAACTCTATAAGACTTTAAGTTGCAGAAAGGATGTTGATATCCATTGCTAGAGGGACTTTTCTCCTACACGAATTCCGTGTACAAATGAAATCACAGGTCATAGCCCTATTCTGTATTGTCTTTAAGGGAAATCTATTTAGATGGATTCATGAGCTTATTGGTGGGCATAGTCCCTCCACCAGCACAAATCACAATCATTTCCATTTTGCCTATGTCTTCTTGTAAGTCTTCCATAGAAGATTCACCCAAAATGGAGACTTTCCTCTAATTCTTTTATTATGTAGGGAGTACTAGAGCAATACTCAGGCTGCACATCTGTTATCCTTTACTCTCTTTACAAGACTTACCCACCTTCTTTTCTGTTCATATATATCACTGATGATCTCTTACTCCTTTCACACAACTCATCATAGGCAATATGCTGTAGTGTAACTACAGCCATCATACATCTTACCATTTATCTTTGTGACACCTCTGATTTTGATTTTTCAGGTATCGTGGTGTTCCATGAGTCAGAGCCATACACTATCAACCAAAGAATAATAGTTTTTAAAAAGATGAGCTTTTAAGCAGTAAGCAGCTTCAATTCTTTGAAATATCTATTTAGTTTCCTAAATGTTATCCAGCATGATCTATTTAATTCTGGACCAAATTTACTATCTATTTGTAGTGACTTTCACTTTTTTTTGTATATGATTTGTTTAGTGCTTACCATGTCAGATGTCTTCCATATCACTTTTTAAAGAAAATACTCATTATAGAGTATTATAGACAAAAAAAATTCTAGGTAATAATTCAAAAGCCTTTGAGCTCTTTTGGTTCTGAGCCCAGAGTTTGTAATAATAATAATAATAATAAATTAACATTCATGTAACATTTTCAGGTTTACAAAGTACTTTTCAAATGTTATTTTATTCTCACAACAACCCTGGGAGGTAGGTTGTATTATTATCCCCATTTTACAGATGAGGAAACTGAAGCAAACAGCAGTTAAGTGACTTGCCCATACAAGTAGTATTTGTCTGAGGCAAGATTTGAACTTAGGCCTTCTTGATTCCAGCTCTACTTCTATTCACTGCACTCCCTAGCTGCTACCTTTTAACATGATCTTCACTATACTCACCTGTTCCCATCTTTGCACTGAAAATGTTAAATATTAAGGTATATTTTGACTTAATCTGGAGAAGTTTATTCAGCTCTTCATAGAGTTTTCTCTGTTTCCTCATCCTCAATAAGTACTGGAACATGAATGGTAATTGTCTTTATGTTTATCTGCTTGTGTTCGTCATTAAGAGTGCTAAGTCAAATGAGAAATTTTTCCATGACATAATGTTATTTGTTGCCTTTGGAACATGATGAAACCAATTCTGCCAACTCCTTTATTTGACTTTCCTAGAAGAAACTTTGAGCCATCCTTCTATTAAGCTACAGTTGTATTCTGTACTTGCATTCTGATTTCATTATGCATAAAAATGTGGCTGTAGAGAGCTGGCCTCAAAACAAGGAAGATTTCTGTTCAAGTTCCACCTCTGACACATACTAGGTATGTGACCCGAAACATATCATTTAATATTTAAGTATTCTAGGCAACTCTCTAAGACTCTAAACTACAAAAAAAAAAAAGTGCTGACCTACATTGATAAACATATCCTCACCCAGGATTCCCCATACCAGTGAAATCACAGATCTAGTTCTTCCTATGGCTAAGAATGTGAACATGGATATGGTTCAGTTCTCCTATAATACCTCACATCATTAGTCTTAGACAAAAAAAAAAAACAACTCAGAGTACCAACAGTTAATGTCATTACATAATTAAAAACTATATGATTCTTAGTACCCTTTGCCTCTCTTTTCTACCAGGTCCCTGTGAAAACAGGGTGAATCTACACAAGAATGAGAGACCATGTTATATTTTTATGTGCTTCCTGGAACACCATAGTCAAAAATTTCATCACCTCTAGGCCAATGATTATATTTAACTAGGCTGGCACAATAGCTGAAACAGTCTATTTGGGGACCCATTCTAGTTGGGTAGAATATGCTAGAGCCTGTACCTTGCTGTCATGAACCCAGATCACCTTTGTGCCATGATGAGGCATTATAAGAGAACTTTTATGGCAGTTGAAAATTATATTTCCATTAAAAAAAGGTAAATTCTCATCTGTACTTTTCATACTAATGAATGAATATATTTCTTTACTCTTCAGAGTGTTGTTTCAACAGCTTTGAATAAAATCAGAAATCAATTGAGGTTTTTTTTAAACATCCTGTAAAGTTTACCTGTAATCTATAAAATATATCATTTCAGAGGGACCTATAGCATAATTACATACTAAACTATATTCCCTTATTTAATCAACAAGTGTTTGTTGAGCACTTACCACTTACTCATCACTGTGCCAAGTAAAACAGGATATTTGCCCTCAGAAAACATAATCTAACTGTTCCTGACATGAATAATATGGATGAAATAATTAGTAAACAAGTTAAATGGAAAGGAAGGCTAAATGCCAAAATGTTAATCTACTACTATAGGAATTGTGATAAGGGCAAAAACAGTTTTGGAAGACTTCATGGCAGAGGTATGGCTTGACCCAGGCCTTGAAAAATGGCTAGGATTCTGAAAAGTGAAGAAAGAGCTTGCTAGGAAAACTATCAAACACTTAATCATAATTTTCCAAAACATCTGGATCTAGCATTTTCTTTCTTTTGGTATTTTAGGTGCACTGAATGTACTGAATATCACCTATGCCACGAATGTTTTGTTAGTTGTTGCCATCCTCCACATATTTTTACTTTTCGGCAGGTATAGTATTCATCTCAAACATTTATTATGTTCTCCAGTATAGGTTCTATAGGCAATCAAAAAATACATTTGAATTGTGATGATAAACTGCAATGCATTTTTTATTAAAGCCTAATGTAATCGAAAGAGGTGGAGAAGGGGCATAGAAGTTAAAAAAAAAAAAAGGAAAAAGGAGGTTTGGTGTAAGATGTAAGGGCTAACCGAGGAATGGCCAGTAGTAATGGAAAAGGCAGAATAGAGATGTGATTATAGATCAAAATAGAATAAATGACACTGGTCGATAACGAATGGTCCAGATATATGGTAAAAAAATGATAATATTGAGAAAAGTTGACTTAATGATAATGGACAACTCATTTAGACTCAATACTTTTTATTTTGGGTATAGTCATCATCTTATTGATATCTACTAGATAGTAATTTGCTAGTGTATAAGTCACTTCTAAATGTATAGATAATATAGATAAATGTTTTATGGCTTTACTTCAGTGTAAATTCAGAAATGGTTAACATCACACTTAATTTCTAACAACATTAGTTAATATATCCTGCTAACACTTGCAGCCAACAAACATTTTAATGAAGAATTTCTTACTATTAGTAGTAATGTTGAACCTTAACCATAGAATCACTTTTGGATACCTACAGTTGTTAGGAAGTATTCCCTTATGTAAAGCTGTCTCTGCAACTTTTTTTTTTCTTTTTGGTGAGGCAGGTACGATTTAGTGACTTGCCCAGGGTCACACAGCTAGTAAGTGTCAAGTGTCTGAGGCTGGATTTGGACTCAGGTCCTCCTGATTTCAGGGCCAGTGCTCTATCCACTGCACCACCTAGCTGTCCATGACTCTGCAACTTTCTCTCATTTCGTCTTATTTTGCCTTCTGGGTCCAAACAAAACAAGTCCAATTGACCTTCCATATGATATCCTTTAAATATTGGATCATAGTTAGCACGTCCCTTTTAAAAACCTTCTCTTTTCCAGGATTATACCTACTTCTTTCTAATGATCCTTCTATGGCATAATTCTTCACCATCTATATATCCCATATCTGGATGTTCCCCAACTTGTCAATATCATTCTTAAAATATGTCCCAAACTGGACACTATAATTTAAATGTGGCCCAAGCAGGTCAAAGTACAGCAGGACTGTTAACCTCCTTAGTCCTGAACAATACATCTCTCTTAATACAGCCTATGCATGCTTTAACTTTTCTGGTTACTATATCGTTAGTTACTGATATTGAGTTTTAGGCTCACTAAAGCCTCCAGATCTTTTATTCATATTAGCTGTTTTCTAAATATGCACCCCTTATCTTGTCAAGATAATAGGCATTTATTAAGTGTGTGACAGGCATGATGTGTTTATAAAGTTGATTTTTTTAACCTAAATGATTCTTTTTTTTTTTTTTAATTTTTAGGCAGTTGGGATTAAGTGATTTGCTAGGGTCACACAGCTAGTAAGTGTCAAGTGTTTGGCCTTTGATTTGAGGCCGGATTTGAACTCCTGATTCCAGGGCCCGTGCCATATCCACTGAGCAATCTAGCTGCCCCCTCTAAATGATTCTTTATATTTGTCCCTATTTCATCTTGTTAGATTCATTCTAGATAACATTCTATACTGTTGCCCCTCCCACATTTTATGAGTGTATGAAATATGCCTTTATCCAAATCATTGATACAAATGTTAACACAGAGCCAAAGAAAGCTCTCTGGGTTACTCCATTTGATTTCATTCTAAGGTTGAATTAATAATAATCCTTTGTGTTCAACCATTCAAACAGTATTGAATACACATAACTATTATTGTTTGGACCAGAAGTGTCAAACACACATCCCACAACATTCTCTAAGGTAACTTGAACTAGATTAAAACATAGTTCTTATCTGATTTTAGTGTGTTCATGTGTTGATAATAATAAAAAAAGAAATAAATAATAGTGTGGTATTCTAAGTCAATATGCAATACCCTGCAGAAATCCTTAAGTATGGTTAGTTTAGGGGCCCCTGTTTCTATCTGAATTTGATACCACTGATCTAGACTATATTTTTTTTATCCTTCATACATGGAATAGAAGAAATATTTTGTTAAATTTTTACTAAAATACAAAATATGTAATATTCCTCTAATCTACCTATCTTGTCAAAAAAAGTTAATTAAATTAGTTTGGCATGACTTATTCTTTGTGAAATCACTCTAACTCTTTGTGATCTTCATTATGTAGATGTTCACCAAAGAGCCATTTAATAATATTTTCTAGGATTTTGCTAGAAATAAAAATTAAGCTCACTGACCTATCAAAATCAAACTCCCTGGCAGCCTCTAATTTTTATTTTCAAATCAAGACATTTCTTCTTTTCCAATATTCCTCTCTTCAAGATTTGAAAAGATTACTGACAGTGTCTTAGCAATCACATCTACCAATTCTTTAAGTCAGAAAGCATTCATCTAAGCCTCTTTATCTCAACTCTCCAAGGAAAGGTAGGTGCTCTCTTACTTTTCATTTCACCCACCTTTCGTTGGGTTTCAACTCCTATTTAGCTATTTTTTTATCTGTTCTTTCCAATCTGAAAATTCTAATTTTTGAAGAAAACAGTAGCAAAAGGAAAGGGAAATAGTTCTATCCTTTCTCCTGCCATCCATTATCATAATAGCAATTCTAAACTGTAGTCTTATTCCTTCTTTGATTTTTCTCTTCTCTCCAGCAGAGCATTAAATAACATTTTTTGGTGACCTTAACATTCCTCACCAGTGTTAGCTTATTAAAACTTCACCACTCTGGACCTTATTCTTATAAGATCATTTCGTGCTTTTGTATTCATCCTCTATTCCCTACCTTTGTTTTTATCTTCTACTAAATGACATTTGAAATCTCAAGTAGTTAATGAATTCTACATGTGTCCACATCAGTGTTTCTACATGATGTCCCCATTTCCTCATTAAAATCACTTTTTCATGTGTCTTCAGATTTTTTTAAGAGCTTCTTATCCCTTCTGGCTGCCATACTCTCTAGAATTTTAGGGGCATGGGAACCTATTTATTCTTTCTTTGAATGCTTTAAAATCTGTTGTTTTTCTGAAACCTAAGATGTATGTCTAACTACTCTACCTTTCCTTTCCATTGCTAATACATTTTCCCAAATGGAATGTTTACTTCTACTTGTTTCCTATTATTTTTATCTCAGCAACCAGTTCCTCATTGTTGGTGAGAATCAGACCCACATTAATTGTTCCTCACATTCCTTCTGCCACTCTTTGAAAATGAAATTACCATTAAGGCAAACCAATTAGTTTCTCTGCTTTTGGCAGAGAGAACATTACAGGTGATGTCCAAATAATTGAAGTGCTTCATCTGTACTATATCATTGCCTCCATGCCAGGCTAAGAAAGGAAGAATTCTATTCGATTAGAAATTTATAAATGGTGCTTTCCTGCTACTTAGAAAACATTATCAAATATCAAATAGTGATGAACAATAATAACTGCTTTTTATTTTTAGAAAAAAGAAAATAAGACATGGAAATAACCAAAATAGTTTTTATGAAAATTACTTCCTTGTTTTTAGTAGTTTACCTTAAAATATGCTGTGGTACTTCAACCTTATGTTGCAGTATGAAACATTGTAAATTTTAATATAAAATAATATATAGGTTAGGAAAGAAAAAACTTTAATAAGTATTTAAGTGTTTTGTAATTTATTTTCATGTCACTGATTTTTAACCATAAAATTTATATAGAAAATGTCTTTGAATTGCAAGATAATCTCTTCTTTTTAACCAACACAGAAGAGAAATCAAAGGTGGAAATCACTAGAAAAAAATCCAGGGTTATATCCTTCAGGGAGAATCTTAAAAAATACAGAACTTACAAATCAGAGTGAAGAAGAAATGACACATCTTGAAAAAAGGTAAGAATGACATTCCAAGTAAATTTAATCCAGAAAGTTCTCTATTATTTATGAGTTCTCTGAGGTAATTTCTTCCCACTTTGAATTATTTCAATAATGTTTTCAAGGTTGGCCTTTCCAGAAGGCAAGAAAAGTACTTTCCTTTGAGGATCCCTATTTTTGGATTTCCCTGAACAAACATAAGGGTTAATGAGGTTTAAAAAATAATGAATTCAATAAAAAACTCATCTGTTAAGTTCTTCTTCTCTTGTTGAGGAAGAAAGGAAACTTTACTCCATAAACCTATGTTTCTGTCAGATAGAGGGCCTGCCACACTTCCCCTTTATTCTTATTCTCCTTTATACTTATACTTCAGTGATCTATAATTTCATCAGTGTTGGCCGTTCTTCCACTGATGTAGATTCCATTCCTTCTATGACTTAGTGTGCTTCTTTCATCATGACTGTGGCTAAAAAGTTAATCACCCTATGGATGATAAACCAGGAGTAATAATCAATAATATATTAAGAACCACCCCAGAAATTTCTTGGAGGACATGGGGGACTAATATAAATCTAAACACAATTCTGAATTGCACATATACATGGTGTTTAACAGATGTGTGTTTAATTGGATTATAATGGAATTCTCGGAATCAAACCTATGTTTTCCATCTTCCCAAGTGGTGTTAAAACTGTATTGTTAAGGATAAGAAATGAGTAGATTTTTTCAAACTTTATATTTCATATAACTTTATTGTCTTCAATCAAAGAAAAACCCTGGGGGTAATAATTAGCATTGCCTTTAGTTGTGAGGTACAACCTTATAACAGTAGTATAATTATTTTATTACATGTATCCATAAATCAATATTTATACTTCCATGTTTCTTCTTATTTCAGTATCATTTGCACACCAAAGCATGTAGTAACATCACTTCCTCTCATATTAATTACAAAGAACAGTAAGCTGCTTGCTCCAGGGAACCAGTGTCGACTTTGTTTGAAGGCATTTTGTCTTGGTCAACATACAAGACTATTACCATGTAATCACAAGGTAAAGTAATAATAGTAGTCTGTCCATGTCATTTTGGTCAGCCTTGTTCCTTAATTTCAGTTTTTAACTATATTTCATGGCTTCATACATAGGTAAATACATGAGTGATTTCATAATCTATTATATCACTTATTGGTGCTATGCTAGAAAGCATACAGAGTGAATAAGTAGACCAGGGATGGGAAGTTCAATCCCTTTATTAAACTTTGCATAAGTTTGGTGTTGAGATAAAGGAGAATTGTAATATCATAGAATCTTAGAACTGAGAGGACCTTAGAACTTGGAGAAGAATGTCACACATCCTAAGAAATGATTCCTAATTATGATTAATTTTTTTCTCCAGTAAAATGAAATTAGGGTTCAAGGTTTTGGTCTTTCCTTATTGACATGCAGCATCCATTTAAAGAGGGGAGTTAATACTTATATTTTGTCTTTTCAAATGCTTTAGAATTTTTGAATGAAAGATATCCTCTGCCCTGGGTGATGGTGCATGCCTACAAACATTGCTACTGGGGAGGCTGAGGCTAGTGGGTTACAAATTTGAGAATTCTGAGCTGCATTATGGTCAATTGCATGTTTGTACTAAGTCCAGTACCAGTGTGGCAAGTCCACAGGAGCAGAGAACCACTGGGCTGCCTAAAGAGGGACAGGTCAGGCCCAAGTTGGAAATGGAACAGGCCAAAGCTTCCATTACTACCATCAGTGGGGTCAGGTCTGTGAGTGGCCACTGTACTTCCAGCCAATGAGGTAGATTCAGTCTTACTCCCCCCAAAAAGTATATGAGTATGTGTGTATATATACATATATATACACACATACACATTTATACATACACATACAAACATGTGCATATTATACATGTACACACATAGATATATACAAACATATATGTACACATTATATATTATATAAATATATGATAATTATTGTTCCATGTGAACTAAAGCCAGAGTCTGAAACTTTTAGCAATAATTAATTTTAACTGTTTTATTAATTTCTTCACTAGAAAATAAATATTTGGATAGATTTAAATGAAATTATCCATTCAAGAAAATTTAATCTTGAATCTTTAATATGACCTGCAAAAACTGTGTTTATCAGATGACTCAAAATTTAATCAGTACATAAAATGATAGCTCAGATTGTATTTAAGGGGGTCTGGCTTATCAAAAATTTAAAACATATCTCCTTGAGAAATGAATAATACCTTTAGTCTCTGATTAATAGTTATATTTTTCATGTTTTGATAGACTTTATATATTGTATTACTGATTATTATAATCAAGATGATACAATTCTAACATATTTTTTTTAAAGTTTCATAGGAAATGTATTGATGATTGGTTACTAAATATATGTAATTCATGCCCTATTGATGGCCAAATTGTCTATAACCCTTTAATCTGGAAAAATTCACTGATTAATGGACACATGCAAAAGCAAGTACCACATACAACTGCCACTCATCTGTCAAAGCAGCTATATCCAGAACTTTTTATACCTGGCACTGGATTGCTCTTTAAAGAAGGCAAATTTGACCATTTACCTGAAAGATCTAAAGATAATTTCGAAAGACTCAGTAATCATCAAGATTCAACAGATTTGAATGATAATTTAACAGGGGATGGTCTACACCCTTTGCAATCAAGTGATCCAGATTCAAGTCAATTAATCTTTGATTACAAAATAAATCACCATTTCCCTAGCTATCTTCAGGATTCATCCCTTAGCGCTGCAGGGAAAATGCCATCTCAAGTTTTTCTTCCTTCCATTACCAAGACTGGAATTTATGCTAAACCTGGAAGCCCATTTGTGAACAGAAAGTTATATCACCCTGAACAAAAGCCAAAGGGGAACAAAGTGTCTCAGTGCATGGACAATCTTACACTGAAGAAAATTCTTGCCACTAAAATAAGAATTGACAATGAAAGTTCAGATGTTATATTGCCAGCAGTTTTTCATGATATGGTGAACTGGTGTACAACTAACCCTAGTTCATCCAAAAAGGAGAATAATATTATGGGAAAAATCAGACAAAACCATGGTCTCCTATCAAGAAGGCCTATATCAAATGCTTTAAATACTGAAGCTCAAGAGTTGTCTTTAATAATGGAAGGAATTCCTCTCTGCAAAAGTTAGTTTGAGTATTTTCTAGGATTAAAATGTATTTGCAAAAAATAGCACATTTTTACTGACTAATTATAAGTACTATTCTTGGTCTATGTATACAGATATATACACATATAAGTATTATTCTTTTATGTAATACACATATCTAGTTATCTGTGAATAGCACATCACACCATTTATTCTAGCACAGACAATTTAAACAACCTAGTCCCTAATAAAGACACAGATTTGGATATTCTGATGAGAAAACTTTAAGGAAAAATGATTTTAGATCATAGTAAAATATGAATAATTACCAGAGCTTATGCTCATTTCAATAATTACATGGGTTGGTTTTACTTAAACAAAAGAAATAAGCTTTCTTGGAATGAGTTACTTCAGATATTTTAAATTTTTATATGATATGCAAGTAATTTTTCCTGGTAATGTAATTTGTTGCTTGCATCTTTAATGAGTACAGAATATAATATGTATAGTAGCATATAGCCTACAGAGGAATTAGGATGTGGGGCTTTATTATGAATTTTTCCTTGAAGTATTTATTACGTTTATAAACTAAATGAGAATAAAATCTATTCATCATGCATTACTTTTTTGTATTTTCACAGTCTATATCACATCTGTAATTGTTTGCATTATTTTATTTTTGTATCAGTTTGGCAGATTTGCACCGTGGAATTCATTAAGATGACCAACATCAAAGATTATGTTTAAAATTTTTTTTTTCTGTCTCAAGAATGAAGAGTTAAAAATGTTTTCTTTAAGGGATACCACTATCAGATTCTGGTTATGTTTGTTACTTTTCTATAACTTGTCAGGTTTTCACATCTTTTCATTTTCTAAGATATTAAACAATTTCTCTTCTGCCATAGGGAAAAGAAAAGGTTATTTTGGAGATTCTCATTCTCTAAATATAGTTTGAACTAGTTGAAATGCGATGTCACTTCCAACTTTTGAGATTCAGAAAATCAGTTTAGTTGTTAAGGTGTTAATGGAATAGATGTGTGATCAAATATAGACTTCTCCAATTGTCATTTTAAAGCCCTTCATAATCTGGCTCCAACCACCTTTCCATATTTATTACACATTACTCCCCCTCACATACTCACAATCTAGCCAAATTGGTCTTTCATTATTCCTCATATATAACATTCTATCTTTGTGCCTTTGCATGAACTATCCTCTATGCCTGGATTGTACTCGCTCCTCACCTCTGCCTCTTAGAATCCCTGGTTTTCTTCAAAGCTTAATTTAAGTGCCACCCCTCACATAATTTTTACTGATCCCACAAGCTGCTATAATTTCTTGGAGTCCCCAGTTACCTCTTCCTTATTGTGTGTGTTATAAACACATACATATATACACATATAGATATATATAAGTATATAATATATATATAAATATTATAAATGTAAAATTTAAGCTACTTTCATTTTTTGTCTTTGTTTTCTCAGTGCCCAGCACAATGCTTAATATATAGTAAATACTTCATAATTAATCAAAACATTGATCATCTTAGACCAGAAGTTCTTAGAAACCTTTTTTGTGTCATGGACCCCTTTGGTAGTCTGATAAAGGTAATAAAGCTGACTCATTTTCTCAATAATGTTTTTAAATACATAAAATACCCATGTAAAAAATTACAAAGGAAACCAATTATATTGAAATATAGTTACCAAAATATTAAAAGAAATAATTTTAGACCCCAAGTTAAGAACCTGTCTTAGGCTACTAAGAATAGGATAGGTATACTAGAGAGATGAGAATGATATGCATGGGTATCAGATCAAGGAGTGGTTGTCAGGAAGCAGCTTCAACCTAGGCAGCCTCCAGTCATATGGCAGTTGTTTAAGATTATAAATTGTAGAGAAGGTGCCAATCTGCATCGATGAAGGGAGTTGAAATCAAAGGCTAATTTTTTTTAAAAACCATATGAAAGCTAACTACAAATCACTAATAACAAGAAAAATGTAAATCAAAACACCTCTGAGGTTTCACTTCATGTTGAGCACTTTGGAAAAGATGTGAAAAGATAGAAATACCCAATGTTGGACAGACTAAGGGAAGACAGGCACACTAAACAAACTATGGGTGGAACTACAAATTAGTCCAACTCTTCTGAGAAGCAATTAGAAATTGTGCTTTTAAAAAAATAATAAAATGCCCATACCTTTGACCCCCAAATCTACATTTAGTCAAAAGGCTAAAGATAGAAAGGCTAAAAGGTCAACTATATCTTGAAATCTTTACAGTTGATACTTAATGATTTGAAAATGGCTAAAGAAATTGTAATATACCAAAACTGGACTATTATTATTCTCTATGAACAAATACTAAACATCCAGAAAAACATGGAAATTCATATGAATTGAAAAAAAGTAAGGTAAACAGAACCAGAAAAATAAGTATACATAATGAAAGCATAATAAAAAACAAGACTAAATCATTATTAAAGACTAAATCATAATTAAGACTAAAACAAGATTAATTACAATGCCAGCAGTTGGTCCCAGAAAAAAATTGAGAAAATACCCTGATTTCTAGCCAAGATAGTTGTCTGAGTGGATGAAAGCTGCCCAGCTCCTACACAGCTATTCCAGCAAAACCTTGAACTGAATAATGATCTAGAAATCCATAGGAAAAACTACAGTGACTTCTTTCACCCCATAACTGTGCAAGAAGTCAGCCAGATGCCCTAGATCAAAAAGAAAGAGAGCTCACTAGTACCAACACAAGTTAGCACCTCTGCACAACGAGAAACTTCCAAGGATGCATCTAACATGCAAAGCTCTGTGTCCAGAGGCAGCAAGAATGGAAGAAATGAGAAAGTTATATATAATGTGGGAACTTTAGACATCCTAAGGAGTAACAGTGGACAGTGACTAGTAGAGTACTGCAGTTTTCAGACAAATACATACCAAGCCCAGGGGATGTAAGATCCATAAAACTCTATCTTGAGATATCAGAGAGGGCCCTGAAGAGCCGGTATTCTGGAACTTCAGAGATCCAAGGATGCCTAACTCCAGGAGATTAAAGGTCAGCACAATAACCCAATGTGCGAGATCTACCACCTCACCCAAAAGCACAGCAGGGGGTAAAGCCCAACCCTGGCATAAATTCCCAGCTCAGGAATGAAACCTGAAGAGAAGAATAAATTAAACGCCATAATTAAAAATTATTGAGAATCTAATATCCATGGAAAGAATGGATTTTCTACAAGGACAACATGAATACCTAGAAGTAATGAAGCAAGAAATTAAAAATGAAATATATTTGGAAAGAATTGAAAGAGAAATAAGTAGCTTAGAAAAGAAAATGATAAACTTTACCCAAGAAATGGATTCAGTGAAAACTAGAATAGCCCAAAAAGAAATCAGAGTCCATAAAGCAAGAAATATTAGAATAAAATCTAAAGATTTTTTAAAAAAAACAATGCAATAAAAGAAAAGATAAGATATTTGGTATCAAAAACAACTCAGAAAATAGGTCAAAGAGAGATATTTTAACAATCATAGGACTTCCTAAAAAATACAATTTTTAAAAAACCTTACAAAAAATAAAAAATGAAAACTTGCCATATCTGTTAGAACCAGAGAGCAAAGGGAGAATCCACTGATCATCTCCTAAAAGAAACTGCAAAATGAAAAATCCCAAGAATGTCATAGCCAAAACCCAGAGCTCATACATCAAATCAAAAATATAGCAAGCATCCAAAAAGAAAGTTCAAGTACCAAGAAACTACATTCACTATCACACAAGACCTGGTATCTTCTACTGTTTTTTAAAAAAAAAGGAGTAAATTGTACAAAATAGTCATCCAAAAGGCAAAACAAAACAAAACAAAGTTTACAACCAAGAATAACTTACCATGCAAATCTGAGTATAATCTTACAGGGGTGGGAGGAGGGGAATAGAATATAGAACTTTTAATAAAATAGAGAACTTTCAAGAATTTCTGATGAAAAGAGCAGACCTAAATAAGAGCTTTGAACTGCAACCACAAAAATCCAGAAAAGCCTAGAAAGTTAAATTTATTGGAGCATTTGAAAGGAACTATAAGATGATGTAGTGCTAACATTATAATGGGGGATAAGGAATACATATCCTTTCAGAATCTTAAAGTCTTCAAATGGTTCTGTTCTGAGTGTTTTAAGAGGAGAAAAAAAGAAGAGGGTGTAAAGAGGAAGACACTAGTACAAAAAATTAAGGGGGTTGAGCTTGCTTTTTTCTCATAATTGGGATGGATGAGAATATACAGGCATGAAGGAAAGGATGGGAGAAGTGAGTGTCGGATGGACCTCCCGTGAAATGGACAAAGAAAGGTTGATCACACACCATTTTGGTGTGGGAATACATGAAATTGAACAAGTAAAAAAGCAAGGATGGGGGCTGGTTAGAGGTAAAAGGGATGATAATGCCAGGCAGGGAATAGAAACAAACTAATTTCCTGATTCAGAAGAGAGGTTAAGGGGAGGGAATAAGAGTAAATGGAATATTACTGTGCTGTAATATATGTGTGTGTGTGTGTGCATGTGTGTATGTATGTATGAATGTGAAGAAAACAAAGAAGCAAAGAAAGATACACATGCACTGATGTAGAATAAAGTAAACAAAAGCAAGAAAACAATATACACAATAACTACCACAATGTAGGCAGAACAACCATTAAAAAAAGTGAATGCTGCAAAATTATAAAGAACAAGTGTGGTAGGTTAAAATTTTATCTGTTCTGGTCCCCCTAATCACCTCTACCCCCACTAACCGTCTAGTTAGTACAGTAAGTTTATAAGTATCGCATAATCGCAAGAAGACTGCAGTGGGAGGGCTCAAAATCACTAACAGACTCTGCCATAGATCAAAGGAGCATAATTTGCAAACTATCATATGTTCGCTAAAAATCACATCCTGAGATAAACCTCAAATGAGCTCCAAACATCCACAGTAAGACTAGCAGAACACCAAATGTTGCTAGTGACTATGAGATGATGGCTTTGAGAAGTAATGCCAAA